CAGTGAAATCTTCACGTTTTCACAAGGGCTCCATTCATCTTAAGAGTTACTTTCACCCTTGACTAGTGTTCACTATTTGTCACAATTCTTTGCAAGTTACAGCAGATGGACAGGCCCATTTACAGGATTTTAGTGGCGACATTTGTTGTTGGACCAAACTTTAGACCCAAAGATGCAATAGGGAGTAGGTTATTGGGTAAGGAAATTGTATGATACCAGGTGGAGCTGCTCTTAATGGTCCATTTCAAAGAGAAAGTCAAGAGGTACTCTATTCACAGAAAAGAATTTCATTCCAACATGCCAGCTTGTGAGTTGATGCCAATGGGAGAAATAGTTTTCCCCTGAATCATGTAGACAGGTCATCTTTATTAACGTTGTCATCTTTGTGATTTGCTGTGATTGCTCTTTCAGTTCAAAAAGCTGTGGAGCTAGTAAGCATGGCAAAGAAACCTGTCATTGTCCTGGGTAGCCAAGTCACTCTCCCTCCAACACCAGTAGAAGATGTCCGCAAAGCTCTGGAGGTAAACTAAGCCAAGTAACTTTGATTCAAGTTTTTACTTACTGGTGAAAGTGTGCACAGTTTAAATGAAGAATTGTTTTCAATCATTGCTACATGTATACACAGTGCATGCACATCAGGTGTTTTCTAACCTTGACTCCATCTCCATCATTGTTGGATTTCTGTGCTCTTGACTTGGACAGTACATTGAACTGTTCACTGTTTACCCAAAGATAAAAGTGTTTTAATTTTAACGAGGTATTGTTGGCCCCCAAGCTGCTCCGTTGACAAACTGCACAAAATAATTTATCTAGTGCAAAAAATGAGAGAATGATGCCTTTTCTTGCCTCTTACCTCGTTAAAGTATGTAAAAAGCACCAAAATGTAGCCTCAAGAGCCATAAAATGTTACACCAAAATTTCCCAAATTCTTGCCCCCCCCAAAAAAAAATTCTACCCCCCAAATAAATACTTGGTTGTGGATCCACTGTTGCATCATGTCCTGGTGACATCATGCAATTCAATTTGATATTTTGATTTGTTCTCCAGGCAATGGGTATCCCTTGTTTCTTGGGAGGAATGGCCAGAGGCATGCTGGGTAAAAACAGCCCCTATCACATCCGACAGCGCAGACGGGATGCACTAAGGGATGCCGATGTCGTTATACTAGCAGGTAAAAATTAGTTTACCATTTGTGAATTAGACTGTGTGCTAGTTAATCAGACATGTCAGATGGGACTTGGAATGATGCACAGGTCAGTGGAAGGTGGCTGCCTCTGCTAGCAAGTGCCTTCATAATAATAGTAATAATAATTAGAAGAGGTGTTTATATAGCACTTCTAACTAAGAATCAAAGTGCTTTCTTTTGTTATTACCCCTGATTATTTGGCAAGTTAAACATCCTAAATACCATCTCAGCTCCCTTGGGAGTATACAGCTGGACTCTGCCTTTTCAGCACAAGGCAGCTCAATCACAATAATCAGTTCACTAGTACCCATTCACTGCTTCCAGTTGGTGGGGAGAAATAATGTGTGACGAAGTGCCTTGCCCAATGATTCACACACCATGACCACAGGCCACACTCACACCCACAATCTGCAGAATTGGCCACAGACAAAAGAATTCAATGGCCCAGACCATCAGACCATGGCACTCCATAGGCATTCCATAGGCACCTGTGCTATTTCCATCTGTGGCCACACCCTTCAGGCACACCCCTTGATTTGAATTCATGTCTGGTACCCTGAGCTTATTAGGGATTTAGATCTAGATTTAGGCTTTCAAATTTAAATCCATCAGACTAGCAGCACTGTTTCTGCAGAAACCCACTCAGTTATAATAGCCAGGCTGGAGAGACCGTTGCCCGGGTGTGAGATTTGTCAGAAGTTTTCCTAATTTCAGGATTTTTTGTTCAGAATTTTTTCTGATTTCAGGATTTTTCAAACGATCTCTTTTTTAAATCAGGAAATCCTGGTTATACCATTACAGTGTGTGTATATATAGAAGCTGACATAGAGCACAAGATATGGGTGTTAAAGGGATACCTTTAGGTAAACACAATCAAAGACCCTACGCTGCCATGAAGCCCTCAAAACATCCGTTGATTATTTTGTGGATGTTTCATTAAATGGCAGTAAATGTCATGGAAATTTTCATACTTTGATCTCGGAGAGCTCTGAAAAAAGTCATGGAATTTGGTTGTCAGCTTTACTTCATATTCCATCTTTCATTTCCCTAGGCACTGTTTGCGACTTCCGGCTGTCTTATGGACGCCATCTCAGTCGTCGGTCCAAAATCATTGCTGTCAACCGCAACAAGTCTCAACTTCTGAAGGTACCATCCACTTCTTAAAAAAGCTTAAAATGGGGTTGAATATCAAGTTTTGAACTTGATGTGGTTGTTGAAGTGAATCTTAACCCCTTCATGCTGGGATTATTTTGACCATGACTTCTGGGCTGTGGTATGCCCTGAATGAAGGGCTTTGTCCAGCAGCAGGCCCCATTGAACCAGCAGCTGCATGGTGAATAGACTGTATGTGTGGTATGCACTAATCCTTACACAAAGCCGCGGCTGTGGATGGCTCCCGGTATGAAGGGGTTAAGTACATACCAGTAATGCTGCTAGCTTGGCTTCAGTAGTGCTCAAACAATTCTATACTTCTAAGCTTATATTACTTGCTTCAGCATCCATCCAAATTATCCATAGTTTTGTGTTGATTCCCTTTTGTAAGATCTGTGATTCACTTTTAAGGGCTCGGAGTCTGAAGTCTCCTTGGTATGTCTTCCACATTGGCTGGTACTCTGTGCGTTTGTGATGTCCTAACCCTACTATATCTCTCCCATTCTAAATCGTGGATGTTTGTTTTTTGGGTCAGAACTCTGACATGATCTGGACCCCAACCCTGGCAATCCAGGGTGACCCTGGCACCTTCCTAGCCTCCTTACAGAAGGCTCTAGGGGCATACAAGTGTGACCCAGAATGGCCCCGTGTCTTGAAACTACGTGATGAGGAGAAAGAACAGGCCAATACGTAAGTTGATAATTTGTAGTTGTCATTTAGGATGATGAAATCAATGATTCCTCATGATGTCCATGGCACTTGACTTTTAAACTTGAAGAAACTTGTAAAAAAGAAGCAAGGAAGAGCGAGTCAGTTTTAGAGTCAGTCAGGTTGGGAGGAAATCCTGACCGTAGAATCCGTCTGAGACTGAAACCCCATTCACATGTCGGTGTGGGGTGGAGCTGAAGTTGGTTCTCCAAAGTGGGAGGTGAGGTAAGTAGCACCAGACCAACCTGACTGGGATTGACCAATAGACCCATAACGTAATGATGATATGCTTTGTTAACGTGTGCTTTCCTGTGAAAGTGAGATGGGACTGTCTCCCTCCAGCCCCCATAGGAAAGGCATTGGTCTGAACAAAGTGTGACATCCTTGTACCTTAGATCTGCAGCAAGTTTGTTGAAAAAGGCTGCTTAACAAAAAGCTAGCTGAGAACCGGTCACAGGTTACATGATATTTTAGCTGGTAACCGATGTTGTTCCAGAAAGCAAATATCTGTGTTTGGCAGCTTTTCATTTAATTTGCTGTCAGCTTTGCAGAGCGTCCCACGACACCTTTATCTCAAAAACACAGACTAAGGCTTGTGTTTCTAATCATATGTAGATAGAGTGAAGGATAGCAAGGACAAAGTTTGGAAAGGCCACTTTATACATCTGGACAAACAGATATGACAAACATGTGACTGCAGATGTTTGAAAGCCTGGCAGTTATTTACACTGCAACAAAATCAGCACAGCTTAGCTTAATAAGCTAATTTTAGAACCCATTATTTGTCTGGTTTGCGTTTGAGGGTTTCAAACTATTCCAATGGAGAGAGCTTGTACTTCTTAGCTTTGCATTTCTCCAGAGTTGATGAAATGTAAACAGTCATTTGTTTGTCCATTGTTTTTCCTCTGTAACAAAATTTGAATGCGATTTCATTTTTCCAAGTGGCAAATCCAATGCTCCAGTCAACCACTTCCTGAATCCATTGAAGGTGCTTCATATCATGGAGGACTGTCTAGATGACAACAGCATATTGGTGGCTGATGGCGGGGACTTTGTGGGCAGTGCTGCCTATATCCTGAGGTAAACTGAGAGTGACAGTTACAAGTGGCTATTGCTGTGACAAATGACAACCACATTAATGACAGTGACAGGATATATTTTAGTAGGTGGTATCAGGGATTATCTGGGCAGTTACAGCTGGGTGGCCACTAGTGGCATAGGTGGAGAGGGGGGTAAGTTTTTTTAAAGACTTGAAACTGTTTGAAACGCTTCTACCATTTTTGTTGGGTGGAGGGGAGATTTCTTGTTTGTATGAAAACAATTTGGGCTTCCGTTTTAAGAAAAAAAATCCCATTTTGTCCTACCCCACCATGCCCACTCAAAACTTGGATATGCCACTTGTGAGGAAAGTTTGGTTTGGTGAGAATGAGCTGTGACCATGACACTTGTCAATGACTGCTACTGTCACAATTGCATTGACAAAGGCAAAAGTCACTGGATGATGGCATCATGCACATGTAGCAGCTGACAACAAATACTTCGTGGACAGTGCTAGACTGAGCCGTGGCAGTGACAGTCACAAGTGATCTAGTGCCATGTCGATGGTGACAGTTACAGTAATGACAAATGATTGGATGACAACAGTGTGTGGGTCAGCTGACAGTGGTGGTTTTCATGGCAGTGCTGCCTCCAGCTTTGGGTTAGCTTTGTCACCTTTGTGGACATTCACCTTGACAGAAGGTGTGGCAGTGCACACAGCAATCACTGTCACAACAGTCATGGCAGTATTGTTGAAGCTGGTTTGGTTGATAGTGCTGCCGTCACAAGGGTAACTTTGGAAGTAATTTGCATGTGTTCTTGTATTTTTGTAATTTTTGAAGCTCATTTTCAAAAAAAAATCTTTACTTTTCAAGCCTTGCTATTGTCAAAAGCTCAGATACTAAGGGTGGGACGTTTACACGTTTAAACGAAAACAGTTCTAAATTCGTTTACAGATTTTCCGCAACGTTTAATCGCAATGGCCCCTTTTAGAGGTTTGACATTTCATTGACATAATCTGGCATTCTTTTTTATTGTAAACGATGCCTGAAAAAAGTGGATTTTAAAACAATAAACATTGCATGTTTTAAACGCCCCAACATCAATCTACATTTTTACATTGGTTGGACTATGTGCATTGTTGAACTATGCATGCATATATATGAAAACACCGAGGTAGGCGGCAGCGGCCTCTGTAAAGTGTCGGCTGAACATTTAAACGGTTTTGGAAAGTTTTCTAAACATCGTCCAAATTAAACATAAATTCCCAGCCTCATTAGATACACAGGTATTTACTCTCACATTTTACATATAGTTATTAAAAGTTAGGGTCATTGTTTGGTTTTTGTTAAGGTAATGGTGATTCATAGGCAAACTTGGGTGGGTCCTTCCATGAGATTGGGCCACAATTTGTGACGGTGTCCTTGCTACTTGGGTCACTTCTACCACCTGTCATGACCTGGAGACTAGGTCATTTGCTCTGTAAAAGCAACACACACCTCTGTATTCAGCCTTGCAAGATGTACATGTATAATTTTGAATCCATGTGCAAGGAAATAGCTGTTCAATTTTACGGAACCCACAAAACAATAGACACCTTCACAAATTATGTCCCAACCTCATGGAATGACCCAGATACAATGAAAGTCATCCAGGGAAGTTTTAATTCCATACAGTGCTTACTTATAGATAAAACAGTTAAAAAGATCTTTTCTAAAATATTCTAGTATCTTATTCAAAGATACAGAAATCTCATTTCTGAAAAGACAAGACTTGACTGGTATTTGCAACACTTAATCTCCTAGTTGTGTGTGTTGACTCCATCAGACCTCGTGGCCCTCTGACATGGCTGGATCCTGGAGCCTTTGGCACTCTTGGAGTTGGGGGAGGCTTTGCCCTTGGAGCCAAGCTGTGCCGTCCAGAGTCAGAGGTTTGGATTGTGTACGGTGATGGCACTCTGGGGTATACAGTGGCTGAGTTTGACACCTTTGAGAGGCATGGGGCACCAGTGATAGCCGTTGTTGGCAACGATGCTTCCTGGATGCAGATTGAGCGTGGACAGATTCCTATCTTTGGTTCGTCCGTTGGATGCCAGTTGGCGGTAAGATATACTTACTTATGATACAGTAATAAAAAACAACTAGGAAAATCTATTTAGAGCCATTTGGTTCATCAGGCTGGTGTTTATCTCTGGTTTCCTTGACATGAAGTGACTGAGAAGAACATGTTTATTTCCTCCTGGATGGGATGCCTGTGAATGACAGGTTGCTTCACATCTAATTCCAGCACTCAATTGTACTCCTTGGTGGGAGAGGCAAGTGGGCATAAGGTGGCTTGCCAAGGGCCACAACTTACATGTACATGTCCAGCAGCTTGACTCCAACTGGTTACCCTCTGATCAGAAGTCACAAACCATAAAGGGTAGCTGCAATCAATTTGATTTAATACAAACCTTCAAAATGTCTCAGTTAATATTGTTTTCAACTTTTGTTTCCCTGTTTGAAAGGGTATTTACCTCCCTTTTTGGTTTTATGCTAATGAGTATTTCCATATTCATGACAGAACTGTGATATCATCCTAGGAAGAAAGCCTGAATGTTTCATTGTTTGTACACGAACAAATCTTGCATTTTTGTAGATTTTGCTGGACTAATTTTTCTCTTTGATGAGTCATTATTGATTATTTGCGTAGCAATAAGAAAGCATCAATCTCTCTCGCAGAAATGTTTTCAGTAAGTAAATTCTGGGTTCACAATTGGATCAGAAAAACCTATGCACTAAATTATTTCTTCACTGGATGACTTCAAAGTAGCAGTGCCCTCACTTGTCCAGGAAAGCATGGATAATGTTTAATAACAAAGTGCACTTTTCAATGCATTGAACCAAAGAAGAATGTGAAAGGGTTTTCATACTTTGAAGAAGACTGAAGAAAAAAATCATTGCTGCTACACTTTAACCGCTTGGCCACCTCCATCCCATGACACTGTAAAAGATGTTACATGAGTATTAGCTTTGTCAAAATGGGTCATTAATGACCAAGAATGTTTCTCTGCAGCTGACCATTTAGAGAGAGTGTCTCATTCATGCATGTTGAAAAAGTTTGCATTCTATGGGAAGATCTCCAGTGGAACACTTGCATTTCATCAGAGCACCAATAGGCCCACATTGCTGGAATAATCCATGTACAGGATGGGCTATGTTAGCATCCTGAGGAGAGATGTGGGTGTAGAGACCACAACAGAGCTGGCTGATTGCATGAAAGATTAGGGAGATCGTATTGATTCCCTTGGTAGACTTACCTGTAGACTAACATGTATGAATGTTTGCATTATTTTTCCGGGGTTTGCACAGTCATGGAAAATCCTGGGGGAAAAATAGTTTTTCCGGAAAATTCCTGGAAGTTGGAGGAAAATAGGGTTTCTAGGAATCCTATTGTCAGAAGCAAAAGTCTTGGAAAAGTCATGGAAATCAAGATCATGTGAGGTCATTTTTGAAGGTTTGCTTTGTATTTTATGAAGGAATAATGATAAATTTACTGGCTATCCTTGTCAGTGAATATTTCAGTTCTGAAAGGTCCTTGAAAAGTCATGGAATTTTGTTTTTCAGATTCTGTAGGAACCCTGTTTTTCTCAGCCAAAATTCCCTTTCCTCTTGTTGGCCTGCAGTTCCGTGACTATGAGAAGGTGGCTGAGGGCTACGGAGGCAAGGGATTCCGTCTGAGCGAGGAGAGCCCAGAGCAAATCCAGGAAGTTTTTCAGGAAGCCAAGAAGCTATGCAAGGAAGGCAAGCCGGTCCTTATCAACTGTCTAATAGGCAAGACCGACTTCCGTGATGGCTCCATCTCTGTCTAGACTCTAGGTATTTATGATGTCAAGCATTTCAAAGGAAGAATATTAACTTGCTCTTGAAAGTTTCAGTTAGGGTTTTTCCCCACAAAAACAAGTGTATTAGCCGGATATGCAAGCACTTTGTCCCGATACGCACAAAAAATGGCCCATCATAATTTCCCCTCCCTGACATGTTTAAAAGTCAACCTCCCTGCTTAATAGGAAGTGACCCCTAGGGTATGGTGAGTGGGTCATCATGTTGTTTATTAAAATTTAGGGCCAAAGTATTTTAGAGAATGAAGTTTTGTTTCTTTCAGGGAATATTGATGCCATCACATGCAGCAAGTAAAATGAATCCCTTCCAAGTCGTTGTATGAAAACGCCTTTCTTAATCATCCCAGAAACAAGTTCAAATACACCAGAGAGCACCTTGTTCAACTTACCAAATGTGGCAATCCAGTGCCGTAGCTTCATAAGTCCTTGAAAACAAATTAAAATCCCCTTAATTTGATGTACATGTAAAAACTCAAAGGAGAGTTCAGAGTTGTATTAAGAATGCAGTTGCCATGTAATATTTCCAGAGTGGTTAGCTATTGATTCAGCTGTCCTCTTCCTGACGGTAGAGATGAATTTCAGTATTTTCCAGAGTCATAACTCTTTATACAATGTACACGTAAAGCCAATGATTTGTAGTGAGATCCTTGTTGGCACTGTAGTCGGTAAGAACTCATATTGTCATGCATAGCTCTGTGTAATCCAGATCCTCCAATATCCAACATGTGATAAGGGCTCTACTGTCACAGAGCTTGTGAGCTTAAAAATTGGCTTAGCACATACATGCACATGCATTTTTCTTGGCACAGGCAGGTTACCAGTGAAACGTTTGGTAATGCATTATGTTTCTGACTGGTTACCAGCATTTTTTTTTGGTTTTTAACATTTATTTGTTGCTCAGCAGCGCTGTGACTTTCTGCTATAAACTTTGATTAGCTGAGATTGAATCAGGGCTGTCAGTTTCACCCCACTCTCACTTGACATGAATTTACAAAATGCCAGGTATCGCAGGAATCAGGATGATTTCAAGATGAACATGTCCAGAGAAATAGAATTAGAGGCTGATCTGAACAAAGCCCTGAAAAAGATTGATGTAAGCTTCAGTGAATTCAAATTTTTTGCACACATATACATGTGACCTTTAATGATTATCAGCGCCAATGATCTGTAATGCTCCTATTTCATTGTACATGTAATCTTTCTGGCTCCCCAGAGAGCTAGGGTTAACACCCCCCCATAAAAAAAGATGGACTTGTCACTGATTTAAACTTGTCAGTTGTTGTCATCATTTGCTTTATTACGGTCTAATAGTGGAATTTATCAGTGTAATGGTCCAGGTATTTTTAAAGTGCTCACATGGGGTCAGCTTCATTTGGCAAATGTCTTCTAATTATATTTTATGTAATATTCATAATGTAGTCATTTATAAATATCTTAGACAGTTTCCCTATTCAACAGTGCAAAATATGAGCGTGTATTAACAATTGATACTGCCCACTGAGATTTGATAATGCCTGCTCTGTGAGACTTTGCTGGCACCTGGATACGAGACAGTGTAACCCATCCTTATTGGTCAAGAGTCTGCGTGTGATGCAGCACAGAGAACCTGCTTCGTGCGCACCAAGTCCATATAAGGAGATTCTTCTGGACTACTTGCACAAGAAATATACCATAAAATTGATGGGGGTGTTCAGGAAAATGAAAGTAAAATTCGTGAACAAATTCCTTGTATATTGATCGTATATTGACTTCTTTTGATTCTCCGACTAAATCAGTATTTATGAATAGGAATAAATATGTGCTTTGACAGTCTTTAATTAATGTTTAAGACCGGCTCAGGAGACTGAATGATGATAATGCCCAAGCTGCACGTTCTTTCTCCTGAACCAGTCTTAAATGCACATTGAAGAGCGGTCGAGCGCACCTGCAGTGTCTAATCCAGTCTTGTCACATCAGCTCAGCGCACCAATGCATCAACAGTAGCATGATAAGAGGAGTCCTTCAAACCATTTTGAAAAAATTTTCCTCCCACAAAATATAAAGAGGAATGGATGTCTGCACAAGAAATGATTAGATTGGAAGTCAGAGTGTGAAAAGTACTTTTTAATTACTTTCTGTTACTTTTTCTTAGGTGAGTGGAGAGGGCCACTTTACAAACAATTTAGTCTTAATTGCTGAGCGTCATTATGTGGCAAGTGTCTGTAAGAGAGTTAAGTGGGTTGGTTGCAATAATAACTTGACAGTGTACTCCTATTGTTGTCATTTTGAAAAAAAGACTAGAGTTCCGTTCATTGTGACTTATTTTCCCCCAAAGGAAACTTGGCATCTACATGTATAAAGAGCTCCAGCTATTACCGATGCTGCATAGACACGGGCTATTGCAGTTTTTGTTGTAACAGTCAATTAAAGTAACTACAGTCGAACACAGATAAAAGCAGCACTGTTAATACAAGGTCATATTTATAACAAGAACAATTTCAGGTCCCAATTCTTCTTGTTTTTTTCCATTATTGATAATATAAGGTAACTATTATAACAAGGTAACTTGTGACGTCCCTGGGACCGTCTTATAACAGTGTTCCACTGTACTGCTTTTTGCCTTGGAGAGAAAATACTATCATTCACTCAGGCATGACTAGATGCATAAAAAATTCTAGGCTTGTTGGATTTCTCTCCTTACACTTACAGTATTACAATGTCTTATTATTTTTTATAGTTTTTACTGAAGTTGACGGACTAACAGATATGGAGTGAAAAGCAAGTAGCTTCAGCACTGGCACTTACCAGGTTATCACACGTATCAGGAATCTGAATAGTACCAATGGGCAGGCCATCCATTTAGAAACATCACAGCTTGTGTTGGCAATAGAAGTATTAAACAGCTAAACGAATTCCACATGTTCTGCTCTGAAGTTTGAGTGCAAAGTTTTTCCAGATTTGGTGATGGTTAGGTAACAGTTGTGGGATATTTATTATTCCTGTGAGATTCATTGAGATCGCAGTATTAAATGTCTGTGGTCCTCCTCATACATAGCTTTGTTTCTGTTGATTAGCTTGTAGGGGATCATAACCGAAGTGTTGCCCATGTCAAATCTTGGCTCCGGTTGGAGTTTTTGTTTTTACGCAGTTTTGTCAAGCAAATGGATGATTTCGTGCCCCAGTATTTCCTGTTTATTTTTAAAATTGTCATGGATTGACTCGCTCACTGTCAGGTAACGGGATCAGAATAGTTTACGAATAGTCCAAGCCTTTGATAGGACTTGAAGTCTCGTCTTGCCAACTACATGTAAGCGTGGATGGGAGAGCACAATTGGGGCGTGCAAATGGTTTGAAACATAATGAGGGAAGTGTGATTTTCTGGTCTTTTTCATTTCTCTTCCGTTTAAACCTGTGTACAAAGCACCAAACTGTGGGATCAACCCTCAGAAAGGCCATAAAAGGTTCCATTTAAAAATCCGAAAGGTTTGCCACGGCCAACGATTTAAGCCTCCCGAAAATTTGATTCTTGATCCGCTCTTGACCGTTATGTGTACTGACATCGCATGTAAAAGGAGGTATTTTTTGTGTGGGACAGCTCTGCTCGGACGGAACATATAGCAAGCTTTTTTTGTCACAAAATGTCTGATTACGACTTCTTAGGATGCTACAATCGTGTCCCGGAATTTTAATTAATTTTAATTAAGTGAAGTACCGGTACATTAAGTTTTACTCGCATTGCAATGCAACTTAAGATTTTTAACAATTCCAAATTTTAATGGTTTGAAATTCACTTACATTTGCTTAAATCAACGCGTTTGTAGAAGCCATGTTTCCCGTGGCTGTTTGCACTCTTAGTTGAGTGGCCTTGGGGATGGTCATGTAGTGGTTTATATGATATTAAAAATTTCTGAAAGAAAAACAACTATTTGTTATCTTTGTCGCTTTGTGCTTCGTGTATTACGATAAGCATTTTCCAACTACACCCCCATTCAAGTTGGGAAGCCACCATGTATTGCCATTGATTAATAGAGTGGCGCTAACCTTGTACATTATGTGGGTCGAGGACATGAGCTCGTCTCCACACGATTGATACTGAAGTTATGAGTCTACTTGTCACTTGGTGCGTTCATATCGAGTGCAATGGAGCAGGGTTGAAATAGACTCGGTTCAAGACTGTAATGATCAATATTAATTAAGTTGCGATCATGAACTTCTTAGACCAATTGGTAAAGAGCAGTTTACATGTACATTCTTCTTGTTTTTTTGTCACGGAACTAATAAATTACTGTTAAAACGATTGGAAGAATTGATCGCATAATCAAGGGAAATTTCCAGTTTGTAAGTTACAGACTGTCGTGTAAGTCGCCTGTCGTGGATAAAATAGGTAAATCCAGAAATCTCATGTAGGTTGACATGCGCATCAAGCAATTTTGCACATAATTATGAAACATTATGACACAGCTAGGTTCATGGCTGCACCGCCAGGCCACTATTTGGCTACTAGGACAGTTATGTTTACTCTTTTCCGATCTTTTCTATTTTGAAGGCTCAACCGTAACGCGTTTGGGGAAAAGTGAAATTAAAAATACAGATAAAATGTGTCTATTGTGGTTAGGATGTGGTTTAAAAAGGGTCAATAGACTCCATTCCTACACGTAGGAGTTTTGTTCATTCCATCTCTTTTGAAACAAATGCCATTCAACCTATCTTTATGTTCTTATTTTCAAAATTAAAACTAGTTTTAGCTGCACACTGAATCAGAATTACAAAAAACACCAATCCTACCAACCTATGTTCAGACGACTTGCTTCACGAAGCAGGAACCTTTTTGCCCAGTCATTCTGGAAATGTATTCGTAATTTCGTAGAGCATGCGAAAGATGTTGATGGCATTAAAAATCACACTTCCAACTGCGCATGACCACCACTGATAACCACAAAACTTCTTCAAAAGTTCTGCTTCCCCGAAATATAAATCACATATAAAATTTGTAACCCTCCCCCAGGTAAAAAGTCGATATAAAACATTAAAACATAAATGCACAACTTGAAAGTATATAAACACGGATGAAAGTTAATGAAATAAGGCTGGTTTAAATGAGTGGTTGTATTCTGTAAAAACAGTGCTGCCATAATTTGTGTAGAGTGATAATGGCGCCACCATAGCCTGTGTTTATCTCTCCAGGGTCGTTAAGAATGCATGTACTCTGGTGAGTTGACCGCTGGAATGGAGAGTTTTTCTGAGCAATTTGTCCGTTTCTTGTCACCAGCTCCAGTCCACCAGTGATAATGGTGATAATGATGTCCCTTTGACCTAAGCCTATACTAGTGCCGGCCCGGTATGGCGGTGTCAGCTGTCTCCCGGTCTCAGCGGTCCCCCTGACCTAGCCGGACATTTCAGCACGACAAAAGCACGGTCTCGTTGGTCTTCCGTGCTGACAGCTAAGTTACTACGTGTGGGCCAAAGCCTGAGGAATGATACTTTGGGCGGTGCTATTAGCTTTGGTGTAGGCCTATGTGCACGTACATGTACAGTACAGAACGTCACGTGCAACGTGAAGCATGCATGGCTGCACTGCTCAGCACGCCACTTTAACGGACGACTTTCCGGTGTTATGCGCACAGATGGCATGACGTATTTTTACCATATTTGGCAAGGGGGACCGCGGAGACCAGGAGACAGCTGAGACAGCCGCACCGGTGCACGCTTTGGTAATAATTCATCTGGTTTAGAACAAGAAACAAAAAATCGATCAGGTTTGATACGAAGGAAACGAACCAAAGGGTGGTTTGCCTAAAGCAAGGTTTTATTCTTCTTTTATCTATTTTTTAGCTTCTCTGTCCTCTTCCTTTTTCGAGTCTGCATTTTGAGTTTTGGGGGTTCGGTTTGTTTGTTTTTTTCATTTTGTGTGTGTGTGTTATGTCATTTTGTGTTTGTTTTTTACTTGAAAAATGAGGTTTGAAAAAGCAAAATGTCAACCAATCCATTAGATAATCAGACATTTAAGAGAACCCTGAACACATCATAGGAGTGACTTTGCGATCTTCAAATACTTCTTTGTAGTAAAGGACGCGAGCTTCAAATTGCACAGGTGTTTGTGGAAGTGGTTGTGGTTTGGGAATTCGTTTGAAACCTAGCTACAAATCCTCCCTCATCAACTATCAAACCATTATAAGGATGTTAATTCTCTTGATGATTATGCATGTTTCTCTCATTTTTTTTGACCAGTAGAAACCAATGCGTGAAATTTAAACGAATAGTGGTCACCCTGAAACTTACGGAAGCGTATTGCTTCCAACCGCGAAAAAATAGTTTATCTTGTTTTTTTAAACGACTTCCTATCTCATAAACGACATGACTATAATTAGAATTGCGAGATAGTGATGTCTCGTTTAAACGAGATAGTTATGTCGTTTATTTTAAACGAGATGATAAGTTGTTCAAATAAATTAAAATATTTTTTCGCATTGGCAGCAATACGCTTCCGTAGAAACTAATGACCCGAAACCAAACGTTCTAGGGAGACTCGACCACCATTGCCTTCAGATATAACGAAGATCAGGATGAGAAGAAAGTCAAATGGGCTTCGTTTTTTCAAACACTATGCATTTTGTATGGAACTAATGCGTTTACCGGTAATGCGAAATCTCAATCAAAACAGACTGACATTTTAATGATATCTCCTTTATTTTCAGTCAAGCAAGGAAAAATGCCTTTTAGTTTTGATGGATATGGCAGATATTGTTGCTCCACTTCTGAAAAGAAGTAAATTTGAATATGATACACATGCACTTTTTAACACGACACAGCCAGAAAGCTGCGGTTGTGTTCGAATACATAACCACGGCTTTCTGGCTTTCAAAACAAAATCTACTTTATCCCTTTTCTTTTGTTCGAACAAGGACAAAATCTTTGAAATTCACAGAACTTTCGAAAGGTTCGAGAAAAGAAAGAGGATAAAGTAGAGTTTGTTTTGAAGGAATGTACCAATAAATGAAACGGCTGGAGGAGCCGTGTGGTTCCATCTCCTTTTCCTGATCATTTCTATTTCAACATGATACATGGTAGATGTCTTTACCAAAATTAGCACGAGAAAGAATACAAAATATAGGATTTTCGCTTAAATTCCTCGAAAGTAGATTCATGTTAGTTTGTGAGAGTACGCGTTTAAGTGTATTGCTAATTTGTATTTCTTGTTCGTTTCCCTGGCGTACAACTTAGTTTGGAGGGTCAATGTTTGCTTAGGCATCCAAAGAATACAGGCAATTTCCATTTGGCGCACATTGATTTTTTTCTTTCTATGTTTTTTAACCAGGTAAAAACCCGATCTTTTATAAATTCGTCTCCCTAGGGAGTCGAGACCCTGGGGGAAGAAGAAATGTTTTGGAAGTAGTAGTAAATCCCAACAATAGTCTAAAGAAAACACCCACGTAGGGATTGAAAACCCGTGTCGGCCTGACTAAGGACAACGTATACATGTACTTGTCCGAAAACGTTGAATAGGCCTACCTTCTGATTGTTTCAGAACCTGATATAGTCACAAAGGACATACTCCCTTTTGGTGCTACGGCAAACTTTTCTCTTATGACCAATTCAGTACAATGTCGATGAAAAAGATTTACAGTCAGCCTACTCATGAAAAAGAGACAGCGAGGACCATCCTGTGTCGGTTTATTTTAGAGCCATTGTCATTGGATGCGCATGTGGTGGCGGACTGGATAGGAAGTCCCAAAATACGTAAATGTTTCCTTCGAAACTACACTATTTCACTTTAAAATGTCATCACTCCTCCGAATACCACGTATCAGAGGGATTTATAGAGCACATGTCGTGTAAACCTGGGCTGAAAATTGGGGGGGGGTAGGGATGGGAAAGGGTGAGGGATGGTTTGTCCGACCATGAAGATTTGAAAAGCGGGGGGGGGGTTTACACCGTATGACTTTATATCTTCGATATTCATGGTATCGATGCATATCTGTACTGTGCATTCAGAATGGAATATTGTGGCCTGTTTCCCTTTTTGAGTAACGAACGTTGAACTGTTTTTCGTCACTGATCATCTTGACTCTTGAACATGACGTTAATTTATGGTTTAATATTTGGTTTTACAAATTGGTGCCAAGTAGCATAAAATAAGGCACTTGTACGTACACTGCAATTTAGACAAATGGTACGTCGCATTATATGCTATACTGATTCAGTTATAGCCGCATACTTTCCATGTGGAGCTAAAAGCGTTGACATTGACAAAGTTTTAAACTCTAAAACGCCTCATATCTAAGGAGGACATACCTGAATAGAACGTCCAAGAAAAACACAGTGTCCTTCCATTCTTTCGAACAATTCCAAACTTCGGTATTTATACAGGGACTTTTGGGACAAAATGCAACTGTGCAGAACGAACCTTGACACAGCATTTCCTTGATGTAGGAAAACCTGTGGCAAGAGCTTTTACCGATGGTCTTCCCTGAGTAAAAGGAAACTGAGGGCCAATGATTTTGACACTGTGGGCGCAGAATGTTTTGGTGTCATGTGGTATGCAGCCGTGATGAACTTGCGACTTCACTTTTTCTGAGCAAGAGTGGTGTTTACACAGGGTCATTCCTCAGCTACCCTTCACTTCAAAAAGCATAAATATTAATATAATATTATCATAATATGTAATTACGGTCCAAGGCAACCACATAAACATACTTTTGTGGACGATGAGGCTACCTTAAAAAGGGAAGGCCAATGCGGCAGTAACCAAATGTAATTAGAAAGAGCGTCGCGACCAACTATCAGCATTGTCTCCAGGAAATAAATAACATTTACGTCAGCCACAACAACACAGCTTTTCCTGCTCTAAATCTGATCTGTATAATAATTAATTGTAAATCCATTCTAAGGTACAATACATCGATCATTATTATAACGTGCTTG